TTGCCATCCTTACCTAGTATCCGTTTCCTAACAACTGTGTTACTTACTCGATGGTCCCATGACATACGAGCAATGTTTCGAAGACACCTATGATCAAATACTAGTAACCTACGGATATCCTCTACTCTTACCGGCCATGTTTCACTGCCATAAAGTAGAACGGAACGAACTGCTGTGCAGTAAACCCGTCTTTGGTTGATAGACGGATATCTCGCCTATGCCATAAATGACGCAAGTTGGTAAAAGCTAGTCGAGCGTTCTGTATCCGTGCTCAGACTTCGTCACACACCAGACATTTTCCACTTCATAACTCTACAATTAAGTTTACCCTATCAATACAGAGAAACATCGATTTACATACTAACAAATCTTCAAATTATTTATTCATATAAATAGAAACAAAAGATTATCAGTTAGGAAAAAAAACTAACAAATACAAAAAAATTTAAAAAATATTTTACAATTCATTCACAAAACAAAATGAATATGCTTATTGATTTATATGTTGAACAAACGATGCTGTAATGAACAAAAGCACGAGTGGGGGTGATCAAATGTATTCGACACGACATTACAAAGCATCTCAATAAAGTCTGGAACCATATAGTAAATAGTTAATTTGCAAAATATCAATCCATCGTCTTAAACTTAACTGTTTCTGTTGCAAACATCAATCCATTGTCTCAGACTTCATTATTTATGCATTTGCATACCAATTACGTTCCGTTTCTGTTCTTTCTTGATCGATCTTTTGCTAAAATATATTCTATGCCTGACCACCGTTATGTACTACTTGTGTGGATATAAGTAACCTACAACACAATACTACTTAAATAGTTTAATAAGAAGTGTTCGTTTGTTTTTTACAAAAAATATTTAATAGTAATCAGTATTTAATATTCCAATTAGAATTCTAGATTAAATCAACTTGTTAAACACTTAGATTTTATGTTAGTTAATTTATACAATAAGAATCATATAAAGACAAATTTCAGTAGTAATTATAACTAAATAAAATAAAATAAAAATGAATTTTATACACACTTTAAAATGATTAAATCATCATTTGAATAGGTGTCTGGATAGTAGACGGTTTGTTTTGTTGTTTTGTTTTCATTCAAAGTGTAATTCAATCATTGATTCATGCAATCATTAAACAAACTGATTAAAAAATTACCCAGTGTATTTCACGTTCATTAGTTCTCCTTATAATAATAATAGTAATATTATTAATAAATTGTAACATGTTGTAATAATTAGGTAAATGCTTGATTGAACTTGAAGAAGAGGAAATGAAAACTTAAAGAATTTTGTTTACAACAGTTGTATAAAGTGTGCTGGATTATTCTTGGAAATCTTAAATACAAATAAATATATAACATACTTACGCCTGTTACTCCGAATGGAACATAGGCCGCTGACCAGCATTCTCCAACCCACTCTGCCTTGGGCCTTCCTTTCTAGTTCTATAAAATTTTTGTTCATTCTTCTCATATCTGTCTCAGCGTAATGTGCTCTTTAGACTTTCTCTCCTACTTTGACCTTGAGGATTCCATGTGAGGGCTTGTCTTGTGACGCAGTTGTGTGCTTTCCTCCACGTGTGTCCTATCCACTTCCAACGCTTCTTCCTGATTTCTTCCTCCACTGGGATCTGGTTTGTTCTCTCCCACAGTACGTCGTTGCCAGTAGTGTCCGACCAACGGATCCGAAGTATTTCGCATAGACAACTGTTAATAAACACTGTATTTTCTGGATGATGGCTTCCGTGGTTCTCCAAGTTTCCGCCCCATACAGTAGAACTGTCTAGACAATTGTATTGAAAATTCTGACCTTGGTGTTGGTTGACAGTTGTTTTGAGCTTCGAATTTTTTTCAGTTGTAGATATGCTGCTCTTGTTTTGCCTATCCGCACCTTCACATCTGCATCAGATGTCAAGATCAAATTTCATGTCCATAAATTTAAGTTTCACTGATCCTTCTATTAGTTTTGATATCCGTTTTGTCTAAAGATCCAAATTACCGATTGTTTTTCAAAGACTGTGGTTTTAATGAGTGAACATGTTTATTTATTATCTGGCAAACTCTAGTAAAGTGTAGTAATAGGTCACCATTAATTTGTAACCTACTTGTGACTTCTAAATTTAATCGGAAGAAATCCCTGTTATTCACACAAATATTGTAATGTACGAGAACTCCGGTGAGGAAAACTGATGCGTTGTTCAAGGCAAAATCACTCAGTAGCTTAGTGAAATGTGAAAATCATACATTAAATACATCATTTCACGACTTCTTTGCGTTATCCTTTGCATACGTCACCAATCCGCTAATTCTGTTGTTGTTTTGATTGCTCTTCAAGTTCCTTTCTTTTCTCTTCATTTCAATCTCCTGCTAGTAGTCACTCCACTTTCGATTGCTACCACATACTACTTATATCTGTCAGCATAAGTAAGCAATATACTCTAGAAATCTGTGAGAACGAAGTGATTATTGGAAGATGAAATTTACCGAATAATCAAAGATTTAGCTAACTATGTTCTAGGAATACCCCATTTTTATATTAATATAAAAACTTGATCGTAAAAGTTTCGGTTATAGCTAGACATATAACAATCAATCCTTCTATTATACCCATGGTAGCATGTATTACGAGGAATAGACCTTCATTATACGTTCAAGCTTAAATATCAGTTAGAACCCAGTTTAGTAATATAGATCGCATCTACAATGAGGTATTCATCTTATTACTCTAAATCTGGATGTACTAGTCGATAGTTAGATTAAAATATGTCGTAATAATAGTGGGGTTCCATAAAAAAGAATATTAGTTTAGGAAGGTGAATTAGTTCCAAATGATAGTTGAATATTACTGTTTTTGAATGTCCCGTTATTTTAATAATCTTAAATAGGTTTCCTTTCCATGGCCTTGATTAACTTACTAAATGTAGTGAGGAAATTCTCGTAAGTATATTTTAGGTTGTACATTCATGAAATTGTATAAATTCAAATGAGTTGTGAATGAAATATACAGAATTGAAAAGCAATCACTATATTGGTTATTTAAAAGGTTTTACTTTTTGTTTCTTTTGTGGTAAGTAGTATGATATTCGGTTAAATAATGAAGGGTGCGTCACATATGCTCAGGAATTGTTTACTATTTATAGTGATTGGGTACGCTTAGAAATGAAATAAAATCTATCGCCGGTTTATTTGATATGTTCCGAACAATTATTTTAATGTTAAAATAAAGGTTAATTCTTCAAAATGCTTGAATTTGAGAAAATCTGTGCGAATATATATATATCAGAGATTAATGGAAGAATAAAACTTTAACAAAGCACTGAACCAAATCATAATCATATATGGATTATTGAATTTCAAAAAAGTGATGTTTGAAAGGAAGGCAAACATTGGATGATCTTTATAGTGTGTTACAAAACGACAAGATTAAAATATTTAAACTGGTGGATATTGAAATAATGGCTCAATACTATACTGTTTTTCACGGGACACAAAGGCTTTTTGAACAGTTTTGTGTAGAATCTTTATTGTTCACATCTAAGTATTCCAAAAAAACTTAGATTATGTCTTTTGTAAATATGACAGAAATTATGTTTTGCATTATTGATTTTACAAAACGAGATCACTGAATAGAATGTGTAATGCATGTTAACGTTACTTATAATTCATTCCTCAAGTAATAAATCAGGTGATTATCGACTTACTTGGTCACTTTTAGACTACAATTTTGTTAATCATATTTCTTTTAGACCATTGTGTATAATATTCCATATGATATTATTACTGATGTAATAATAGACTTGATTCTAAAATTGTAGATTTATCATGATGTAACTGCTTAATATAAAAGATCTTACGTGGATGTCACATCATTATCTACCCTGACTCATTCGTATCGTAACAATCACCAATATATGATGGAGAACAAGATTAGGCTAGAGATAGAACAATATATTTAATATGAATAAAAGATATAAGATAATATTCAATAGGGACCACGCCTGCATGACCGAGCCATGCCATCTGATCAATTCTAATTAATTCAATTCATTCTTTCCACCTTCTCCATCGTTGGATTTTTCTCCGCGTTAAATGTTGAACATCTATTTCTCTGATTGTCTCGTGTTCAGCTTTGATGATTGTGTAGTTAGGGCTTAATGCCACCATGTACTCAATACCTTCCAACGAGTTTACCATACTTACTTATTTACTTACACCTGGTACTCCTCGTGAAGGAGCATAGGCCGCTCCTTCTTTGTACGGGCTTAGGACTGGCAGTAACTCTGGAAGATCTACAAGCAAAGTTGAGTTTACCATGAAGATATATATTTTGAAAAAAAATAAACATCTGTCAAAGTAACTTCACTCAAATTTATAATAATAAACTAAAAATTTCACTTAATTAATTAACGAATAATTCAGTTTTATGTTATTTCATTTTAATTTAAACAATAATAAGTTTATATTATACAGAACTAATTTGTTTTATTACATTAAATAAAAATTATGAATAAAGATTTTTTTAAGAAAACAGAATATTCTGTACAGAAAGTTTGCTTATTTTATGTCTAAAAGAAAGAAGAACAATAGGTAATGTTATTGTCATTATTATTATTATTATTATTATTATTATTATTATTCTTGAAGAAAGGCGCCAAATAAAAAGATTATTCAAGAGACAATGAAATGTATGTAAATAAGTAAAAATCATAGATACATGCATACATACATTCATATCGAAGAAATAAGTTCATTTTATACATTCTCTTATATTAACTTAGTTCAACACCATTTGATATTGTGTATATATATATATGTAAATCTAGTTTCTAAGGGTAATGGGGATAGTTAATAAAAGAGAAACAATACAAGAAGATAGTAAATGATACATATTCTTTTTCAATATTATATTCTATGGAATGTGAAAATATAAATAAAATTTATGAGAATATAAATCATATCAATGAAGTTAAATAAAGATATCTGTGCAATTCAATTTAATAAGCTTCTATTTCTTTAAAATATATATATATATATATATTTTGTTCTGTATTTACAACATATATTACTAACAGTATTATTAGTAGTATGAATTGTTATACAATAGTTAAATGAATGTGAGAATCAAAAAGATGAACAATATTTTTGTTTTTTTAGAGGAAAAAAAAGTGATGGATTAAATATGTTTCGTTGACCATGTTTCGCATATACGATACGATTTATTATTTATAAAATTGCATCGATTAGTTCTTCTTTGTAAACGACACAATGAAAATTTATCTCTACACATCATTTCATTTGAATTTGGACTAATTGGTAAATAACATGTTTTTGGATTACGGTGATATATTGGATCAATAAATAATACTCTTTGTAACTAGTAAACAAAAGAAAATTATAGGTAAACATTAAAACAAAAAGAATTAAACGAGAACAAAACCAATGTTGAAAGAATATAACCATAATGTTTAGATGGTAATCATGTTATTTCAATAGTTTTATATTTCAAAAAGTTGCTTATTAAATGATAAGCTTTTTTATTAAAAGGGGGTTCTGTAGAGATTCTAGTAATTTAATAGTTGAATTCATGAGTCAATTGAAGCTAGACCACCATGTTAAACCAAAAGCACTGGATGACTGTTTCATCCTATTATGGGACTCCTCAGCATTGCGCATCCACGATCTCGCCCGCCGGCAGATTCGAGCCCAGGATCTACCAGTCGCGCGCACGAACGCTCAAACATTAGACCACTGGCTTGGCATTCAACGGTGTTAATGTCTAACTTCAACCAATCCACGAAATTGCGCCACCGTACACTATTGTCTGCTCAGGAGTCCCATACTAGGAAGAAACGGCCATTCAGTGCTTCCAAGTTTTTCATGGTGGTCTAGCTTCAATTGACTCATGATTTCAACTACTGAAATTACTAAAATCTCCACAAAACTCCTTCTGATAATAAAATTCATTGCAATTTGATGGATTTCTGAAAAGCTAAATTGCTGAACTCAGCATTAAGTTATTTTTTCTGATCATACGTCCATGTACAGATATGTTTGAAGCAGAAGGAATAACATTCCATGAAATATTGGCTTCACTTAATAATTGAAATATATTGGTAATCTTATATGCATGGACCATATAATATTTGCTGGAAAAATTATCATATAGTTTAGTTTTATTTAAATCAGTTGATGTAAGATACAGCTACGTATAACAATAAACAGGTTTTCTTTAAACGATAATTATTTTATTGGTGGCTTAATGTTCTAGGCGAACACGTTTTTTTATGATCTATTTGATCTAATTATCTGGTTAAGTCTATTTACTTTTGGGCTTATCGAATAGGCTACAAACACAATAATAACATACAGTGATTTATTGCAAAGCTAGAATTAAATGGTTCAAAATAGTTAAAATGAAACTCTTAACCTCAGAGAACTGATTTACATTCAAAGTCATTGACCTCCATCACTGTCAAGGCTGTCTGCAACGTTACCATTGAGTTGTTAGCGTTTTGATTGGTGTATATGATTGAAATATTTCAACAAATTGGTAGTAAGCAATTTTATATTGAAAATCCCCATGGAATATTCAAAAACAAAGAATATTTGGACGAACAATTGTTTTCAATAACCTCATTAACTGGCTCTACAGTTATAAGTTCATAAGTATAGTAATATTTTACAAAGACCAGGATAAGACATATATTAATAAATTTAACAATGTTATGTTGATGGAGTTTTGTTCTCTGAGCTGGATGGTTCAGTCGTGGAGCTTTCACCCTTCTTCCCAACTACATCATCAGCACAAACTTCAGATAGAAGTTATGTTATGTGTTAAAAAATGGTGAACTTTTACATCTGTTATGGGATTAACACTTCAAAATTGTATGATACGGAATTTAGAAATAATAACAGTAATAATAATATTATTAATGAAAATAACGTTGTGTATTTATTGTGTGATATGAGAGGTGTCATTATTATTAATACCTAAATAACGAAACGAAATTTTCCTACTATACGTTTTGTTCATACGATTTATTGTATTACCATTTTATTGATTATAGTTTGACATCTAACAACCAGTCATCCTGACCTTTATTAAATGACCTTCCCAAATCACGAATGATACTATTTTGAAGCATTAATCCCATAACATATATAAAAGTTCACCATTTTAAACACATAACATTGTCAAATTTATTATTATATGTCTTATCTTGGCCTTTGTAAAATACTACAATAATAATGAACTTATAACTGTAGAGCCAGATGATGAAATTATTGAAGGATCGTCAAAGCAAGAGCAGCATATTTACAACTGAAGAACATCTGGAACTCAAAATAACTGTCAACCAACACCAAGGTCAGGATTTTCAATACAAATGTCAAGACAGTTCTACTGTATGGGGCAGAAGCCTGGAGAACTACGAAAGCCATCATTCAGAAAATACAGGTGTTTATTAACAATTGTCTAAGCAAAATACTTCGGATCCGTTGGCCGGAAACTATTAGCAACAACCTACTGTGGGAGAGAACAAACCAGATCCCAGTGGAGGAAGAAATCAGGAAGAAGCGTTGGAAGTGGATAGGACACACATTGAGGAAAGCACCCAACTGCGTCACAAGACAAGCCCTCACATGGAATCCTCAAGGCCAAAGGAGGAGGAGAGGAAGACCAAAGAACGCATTACGCCGGGAAACAGAGATAGACATGAGAAAAATGAACGAGAATTGGATGGAACTAGAAAAGAAGGTTCAGGACAGAGTGGATTGGAGAATGCTGGTCAGCGGCCCATGCTCCATTGGGAGTAACAGGCGTAAGTAAAGTAAGTAAAAAAGTGTCCGTTCAAGTATTATTTGTGTTTCAATTTCACACTATTTAGTCCTCAATGTTCAGCTAATACATTCAATCAATTTTGATATGAGGTCACTGGCGTGTGTAATTCTATATTTCAATCCTTTTTATCTTAAGTAAGATATTCAAAAGTAAAGTCGTTATGACTTATCTGATAAGTGATCTTGAATAACAATGGCTTGTCGAATAATGACTGTTTCTAACGTAACATGCTATCATCAAGCTTAACAACATAATGTACTGAAAAACAATTGGCATATTTCATAGATGAGGCTTAAATAAGTTGACTAAGTAAAACATTCCACTAAATGAATTAACCATAACACCATGATATTAACAAAAATATCAAAATTTTTGAATTTATCAATTAGAGTATTTGTTTTCTTTTTCATTTGTTCATTTTTTTATATGCTCCCTTTGCATGGAAATTTAATTGATATTTTCACCACAGATTGACTTTTTATGTAAAATTTGAAGCGAAAACACAATAATAATGCGGTGTGTGTCACTGAAGTCAACAGATATAAGTAGTATGTATCATCAATCGAAAGTGAAATGCCTGGTGGTAGAAGGTTAAAAAGATCGAATAAATTTTATATTCAAACACATTTGGTTGTCCTTACTTGTGTTCTCGTTCACTGGAATAATATTTCATTTGACCAACTAGAAAACACACGAATTAATCATTTTTACAAAGATGGATAGTGGCTAGCAGTGGAATCTAGGACTCGCGTTTCGTCCTATTTGGGACTCATCGGCTGGATATGCCTACATCCCATAGTTGATGCTTACTCCAATATTCGAACTTAGTATCGTTCACTTCAAAATGGGTTCTAGACCCGGAGTGAACATCAATTATGTGATGCTGGTAAATTCAACTGACGACTCCTAAACGGGACAAGACGCACGTCCTGGATTCCTCTGCTAGCCACCATCCATATCTACTTATAATATTTGGGATTTAAGGCAATATCAGGGCAATCAGTACAGGATGCACATATGTCAACAAGAGACCGATCAATTACAGTTCTAAACATCAATAAGAAAATTCAAACAAACAATGTAACAATGAACTAACAGTTAATATTTGCGAAGTTACATCCTCCCTATATTGTTTAGCTGTGCTGTTTTTGTGTGCTTAAAATAGTTTTAAGTAGCGAACCATCAAGAAAGAAATTGATAGAAAGAGTATTACGAATGTGATAGAATGCTTTAAAACAACTGGTCAATTTTTCAGTTACTCTCATGGTTGTTGTTTATATATAAAAATGTTTTTCCTGTGTTGTCTTCTTCACATATTTTTGTAGTTATTTTTTTCCTACAAACATTAATCAGTTATTTCGTAACAGAATAAAACATGCTTTAAACATTTGTGTGTAAGGTTAAACAATGTTCATTTTCTGTCCTTAACCTGTGCTATTCCTACAGAAATATATTTCTACAAATGAATTGTCCTTAATGTTTACATTCAATATGAGATAAATAATTTGTTTTGAATAGTTTTAAAAAAATTTCAGTATCTAACTGGAAAACGATTGTCGTCCGAATGCCAAATATCTTCTTTATTTACGATCAACTACATTTGTACCATACTTGTTTGTCAAACAAATTAGCTCGATATATTATTCGAAGGAATTGAACTATTGTCTAATAATTTTAAAATGAATTGTATTCTTCAAATTTGGTCATATTCTGAATTTAAATTTTGTCCCTAATTCTCAGGCTTCAAATCTTAGACAAAAATGACAAATTGCTCGGTGAGATTGTAGGGCTACGAGGTTACTTAAATCATGTGTACCGATCGATGATTCACCATCAATGCACGAAACAAAAACTGTATAAGGAAAAAGTCTATTCTAAAAGCGGTAAAAATAACCATAAGAAGTTAAGAGTATAGTTTAGGAAGTTATTGACTGTTGATCAGCATTCTTAATAAAGATGCATATTCATTAGTCGAAATGTTATGTGATAAAATAATCTGTAGTTATGCAAACTGAAGAACACATCAATGATAATTACATCAGGATAAGGGCATTCAGTCCTTCCTATATAAGTTTCTCCTTTACTTAAAATTTTCTTTGTAAGTATTGCAGGAAAGTAAATAAAGCTGAGTTATGTTCCATAAGTCGTGTTGAAACACCATAATGCTTAAGACCATGTACACCATCATGGACCAGTTTTTTCTTAGTCAGAAATATTGTAGAAACATGCCATGAAAATCTTCATTTTATTAGGTCTAGACTAAAAAATCACTGTTTAGTTCATGATGAACAGTTGTAATTGAAAGTTAGAATTTAAGCAGTGAAATAGGAAGCATTGTAGTAAAAGAGATAACAGGTAATGAGGGCCAACAATTTTTTAAAAGCCTATGTAATAGAAGTAATTAGTGAAATGAAAAGAAAATTGTTTCTAAAGATCATGATTTTTTTAAATTGCAATTAAGTTTGGATCTAAGAATACTTTCGGTTTTTAAAGAGAAACACTATTCATCAGACTATTTATACATTAAAAATGCCTATTCCCTATTTTATACTGAACTAGGTTCAGTGAGAAAATTTCTTATAAATAATCTAGAATTTTTATTAAGATTTCATAAATGATATTCAGCTCATTTGTCTAATATAAAATTTAAGTTTACAATAACATATTACATATTGCTTTCAGGTTGAGCATTTAGAATTTACTTTATTACGATGTTGTGTTACTCCATATGATTATTTTTTAAAATTGAATAGTTTGCAATAATCAGATGTTAGTTCTTATCTGATATTGCTTTGACCTATTTGACAGGATGATTTGAAAATTGGACGATAGACAAATACATTAGTGGTTTGGAGTTAGCAATAATGTATTTCAACCATATTGCTGTAGTTAGTAAAACTTGTTTCATTTTTTTCATTTTTTTTATCAGTTGTTATCTGTTCATACTGAATACTCAAAATGAAAAAAAACATAAACTGTATTCATTTATTATATAATGTGTCCTCTTACTTGACATATACCACACTGAATGCTATACCGGTTGCGTAAATATCGTTTTTGTTCTCTCGTTACTTGATTCCATGGTGCTTTCCAAGAACAAGAATCAACATGTGGAACACCTGATATGTAAATACCTACAAAGACAAAAGGAACAGAATTATTATAATATTTTTCATGAAGGTAATAACTTTTCAATTGCCTACTGTATATAGAAATGTTAAAGTCATTCAACTTCTTATTTCGATGTCCTTAATGTTACACAGTATTGGAACTGATGATATAATTAAACTCAGAACTTTAAACATTGGAAATCATCAATTGAGATTACTTTTAATCATTTTCTAATATAATTACAAATCAGTATTGTGACTTGCATCTACGAAATCAAATATCTCGAACTCGAACAAGAAAATGTATTTCAACTGATGTTCGCATGAAAATCATTTACCATCTAACTTAACTTAAAATTCTGTAAAACATACAAATGTCAGAATATTAGTAATAGTTCAGTAAACATTTAAATGAAATTTGTATTTACAGCAAATAAATGACGAATATAACATTCAAGCATAGTACAATGTTAACCTAATTAAGCGTCATGTGAATATACTATATTTACTCACTTGTACTGAATGTCTTAATTAGGAATTAAGCTTAAAGGAAAGTGATATTAGATAAAACCTGTAAGATTGAGTACAGTTGTTCTCTCTTATTTAGATGGTTTAACCATACAACTATCATTATCTTTATAGACTACATTATTAGAAAAATCTTCAGATAGAAGTATAACTGTAAGCTTTTATATGTTGCTTTAAAATCACGTACAACTTCTCTACTATGTAAGATTTTGTGTTGTCATAGCTACTCATACTTTTGTCATTTTCTTGAAATAAAATTCAACTTTGGATAAACTGTTTATCTTACTTTATAAAATATAATTTTTCGTATTCAATAGTACTTTCCCTTATTTAAAAGATAATTATGTTTTAAAAGAATGTATATTGAAAATATTTGTTAAACAATGTGAAATCAACTAAGAAAACTATTTTGTATCGGTATTTAAAATGTTATTATTATTATTTCTTTTTTGAAGATTCTTTACATTTACTAGAATTGAATATTGAACAAGGGCATGCGCAAAATTGAAAATTATTTAAGATATTTAAATTTCGAACATAAATTATATTGAACCATTTAAACATAGAAATATATAGTGAAAAAAACAGAACACTTCGTTCAATGTTTTGTTATTTATTCGAATTTATTTGATTTCTCAAGTAAACTACATGCTTTATAAGCAAAGAGGGATTGTAGTTAGGAGTGGAATCTGCAACGCATGTTTCGTCTTATTTGAGACTCATCAGCTAGATGTACCTGCATCCTAGAGTTTATGTTCACTCTGGGATTTGAACGCTATCGTGTTATCTACTTAGCTATTAAGTCCTGATAGCTAAATGCTTGTACAATGGGGTGAAGTTTAAATTTACTTGGTGTTGTTTGCTTGTATCTTCCCATTGTGATTTAAGGCAATATCGAGGCAATGTGTATAGGATGCATATATGCCAACAAGTGACTGATCAGTTGTAGTCTTAAAGAACACCAGTTTAATCTAAACTTTACCTGATTCCAATAATAGTAAATAGAAAAGATTTTCCACAGTCAATTGTAAGTACTGATAATAATATGAAGAAATTTGTTTTCCTGTTTAAGTTTATATTCTTGTTAATATATTTACTCCAATTAATTTATCTACAATTGTATTCAACGATCTTAAAAAGTCTTTACGAACAAAAATAAAATGATCAACAATTCAATAGTGGATCATAGTTTACTCTCTGAGAACAATTCGAAAACTTCACTTCTATCTGAAGTTTGTGCTGATGATGTCGTTTAGAAGAACGATGAAAGCTCCATGACCAAACCATCCATCTCAGAGAACAAAACTTTATCAAAATCATTCACCTGAGCTACAAATCTTCTCCACCATCTCAACAATTGTTGTATTTGGATGCAAAAATCAACAGCTTACAAATAAAGAATGATCGATAGATATGTGAAAAACATTGGAAATATGATAAGGTATTTCTAAGTCAAAATATTTTGTACAGAATATGACAATTATGTAAGTATCATTACTAACATTTGGCTTCATGATTTCAAATAAATTGAACATCAGGGGGATGGGTACTTATAATAATAAAACAATGGTATATTTGTAATATCTCACTGACTAGAAAATTGAATTACTGATGTGTTGTGACATTGTGTAATTTTTTTTCTTTAAAGAAAGTAAATAACAGAATTGAAATTAACATAAGTATAGATAGTGCAAAGGAACAAATAAAACAAAAAGGCTTAGTTTAAGCTTATACATGAAATTATCTAAAAAATAAATGCATCTATCATAAAAGACATAAACTTTGTGGTTTAATTTACACAGAATTCAATTGAGTAAAACTAGAATTTATGGTCAATAGACGTTGACATAAACAAGGCATAATTAGTTACGTTAAATACCATTGAAGTCCTTGTCAAAAACCATAATACTATATGGCTTTCTCTTTACCATTAATTTTTTACAAATTATTGATTAGTTAGTTCGGTTACAAGCACGATTATGTAAGATAAACAGACATGGTCTCTTTCAGAGATTTCGTTTATTTTACCATGTGATTTTCTGGCCAGAGAAATCATAATAATGAGTTCTTTTGGACTGTAGTCAATATCAATTTTAAATGAATTATTTACAATTGGTTGATCATTGGGTTGATCATGTGTGTCACATGCTTCTTAGTGTATATGGGATTCTAACGACTAGATTACAATTTTCTCTCAGCCTAAGTGATTCATCATCGTGTGCACTATGTTGAAACGTAGGTTGGTGGTTGAATGTAGTCGACAGGAAACCCTAGATCTAGGTTTCGTACTATTTGGCACTCGTTAGCAAGAATCTGACACAAATGAAATTGTTCGCCATCCAGTGATTAATCAGTTGTAAATGCATCTCAGTCCTACAGGAGATCAATTTCAGCTTAGTGGTAATTTATTTAACTGCGAAGTTGGGCTAAACGCGATCAAATGCTCTAGGGAGCATCAGAGTCCTCAAACTTATAGACACACCTGGCTGAAGAGTGTCGAATAGATCAAAACCTAGGTCCGGAGTTTATAGTTGATTACATTAAACCATTACATATACAGATTATCTCATGCACAAACTATTAGCATGGTCTTCATGGACATAAACTATTGGACAAATCTAGCAACAACTGAACCATTTATTCATTATATATATATATATATATATGAAATAAATGAAAGTGTATTAAATCACTGATACCACTACGAATGAGTTTTTCTATGGAATTTGTCCATAAGAACAGTAGTCGGATTTTTTTTTTCTTTAATACCGACCAGTCTATAATACATCACATTTGATTATTCTTTATATGGTCTGAAATGTACCAAAAATAAAAACCAGGCATAGACTTGAAAATTTAATTAATTTAATTTTTTTTCGTATCGAGTGTTTCCTTCATGTTTTTGTTTTTGAAGACTGACATGATTATGTAATCGTTTTCTCAGTATGAACAATTAAATTTAGAAATTGGATCGTAAAAAAGTATTTAATTCTACATTACAATTACAGAGTTTTATGGTTGCTTTCAATAGTGTGTGTATCTGTTTATCCTTATGTTCACATGTGTAACTGTGTATGCTTAACTTTATTTCGAACTCATCAAATAAAAAATCTCTTACAGTCCTAAGTTAACCGAGTAAATAATTCAGACTGTTTAAATGATAAGGTTATGAGTAATACTTGAATGTTGAAAACTGAAGTGATTTTAAGATGAAATGAAGTTCTAAAGTATTTTATTGTAATATGCTTTTTTGTTTAGTGTATTTACAATATTCAACTATATCGGTTAATCATAGTTATGCAATAAACTAGATAAATATGCATACATTTTTTCTCTTGACTATTTAACAAACTGGGAATGAAATCATAAGGGTAACTTGTTAATGAATGAATATACATAGATCAAGTAAGACGTCAAGAGGAGATTTCTAAAAGTAATTACCTAACATTAAGTGATATTTATTGAATTATTTGAACTAGAAAGAATTGTAAAACTATTTTAATCTAGTTTTAAATAAACATAACTGTTCATCTAAGTGACTCATATAAGATCCGATTTTCATTCTTTAGGTTTCGTAGTAATTCTAAACTTTCCAGGTCAATGAATAAAGATCAGATTGTCAGATATTTTAATTGAAATTAACTTCTACACTATTTATTCTTTATTTTTAAAGAGTGGTTGAAACATTTTCAATCTAATACTATAATAAGATGAAAACACTAAGTTCAATGAAGGTCTCTCATTTCTAGAATTATAGATATATATGAACAATGAATTAACCTGATAGTGTATTAGAAAGCTTTTGATACTAAATTATCAAGTGTAAGTGATAACAATAAGAGACTGACCGTGTGCAAATAAAGTCTATATAAAAGTAATGAGATAGCAATGAGTAATAATGTGAATGGAGTATAATAATTCATTTTTTTTGACAATAATTAATGGTATATAAAGGGTTAAATGAAATGATATCTGAAAGCATTTTAAATAAAATCATGAGGATTTATAGAATAATTAAAGACAAATATTTTCAGTAACGAAATAAAACAAAATAACAGTAATAATAATGATATAATGTCGCGGTAAAGATAAGGATAAGAAGTACATCCTTCGTACACACAATTCAGGCTTTATTTCAAAGATGTCAAACGCTTCGAATGTTTTACGAAGTTAAATGAGAAGAAATATTAGTCAATTTGAACTATAGACAATTATGACGTCAGCCTGCGTAAGAGTAGAGTCATTAGGATGGATTTCATATTCAAGGACAAAAATTTAATCTTTTTCCTCTCATCTTCGTAGAGTCACACTGAAATATGTTGTCGTTTACTAGTTGAAAGCAAGCACTGGCTTCAGCCTATGTATCTTGCTCTACAAGAGCAGGTAAACCGGCAGATGCACATGGAGGTAAATAAACGGAGGAGCTCATACTTTACAGATGCGGAAAATAAACTTTTGTCAATGAATGTTATTTGTAGCTTTAGAGCATAGATCCA